CAGGCATCGAGCCTTGCCGGAGTCCGTAACACTTTCTTTGTCAAGCCTAGAAACGCCCTGCATGGCAAAAAAAAACGAACCGACACATATTCAATTTTGGTTGGCATCGCCAGCCTTTTACCTCCGGCAGGCCGTGCCCTGAAAGTTTGTGGCTTTTGCATGGTCTCATTGGAGAAAAATGGCTGGGAAACGTATAGGTGGTTTAAGGTTGCGGCCTCCACCAACTAGACCATTAACTTAAAAAAATGGTGCAGACTTCAACCCTTCCTACAACAGCTCTCTCACTCACGGAGGCTAGCAAGTAGTTGTTTTCGAGAAGAAGATCCTACGAAAACTGCACATTTGGGCGCCCACCGAAGAGAGAGAGAGAGAGAGAGAGAGAGAGAGAGAGAGAGAGAGAGAGAGAGAGAGAGAGAGAGAGAGAGAGAGAGAGGTACACATCCCAATTTGGGTGGCCACCGAGGCTAACTCCTCAGTCCTAACCTACTCCTTTCTTAGATACGACCGTCCGAGCCGAGTGTGGATATGTCGCATACCGTAAAGGTGCAGACCAGAACAAGAACCGACCTCTCTCACATAGTACAAGATAGTGCAGCGGAAGGCTAATATACCAATGATCAGACCAATCAATATCGCAATGCAGACCAAACATACATCATCATCATTCCATGGTGTGAAAGGGGCTGGCGCTCACACAGGAAGAGTGCGCCAGTCCCCAGCCATACACAGATGAAGAAGAGGGGGGTTAGACGAAAAAGAGGGGAAGATGGGAATGTCGTCAACACCAAGTCTTCGGTACAGGTCCCAAATAATCCCTTGTCCAATGTCTCAATCCGAATGTCGAGTCTGGATCCAAATGTCGTCAAGTCCCAAAGTCACCAATCTCTCTCTCTCTCGTAGTCTGCAGATACTGAGAAGTTAGGTAGCGAGAGGGCGAGAAAGAGATGGTGGACTTAGAAGAGGAAGAAGAAGAACTCTTTCTCTCTCTCTGTCCGGTACAAACCTATGAACGTAGCGCCTTGTTGCAGGTACATCGAAGACGAAGCTGGAGCTATGGCGCCACAGGTAAGTCTCCCTGGCCTCTGCCAACCATCTCTCTCTCTCCAATGATACTCTAGCTCCTAATAGCACCCAACGCTGAAGACCACTGTTAACGCTACTACTACTACTGCAGCGCTCCTCCAGAGTGCTTCTGCCGAATCCTGAAGACTGCCTCCTGCCTCCTGCACGTGAAGTGCCTGGGAAGTCCCTATGAACTACTTGTAGCCTGCAGGGAGGTCCAGTCTTATATTGTGCTGGCCCGTCCAGGAGGCTGCTCTTGCCAATGCCAAAACGTGCCAGCCCCTGGCGTTGAAGTTCAAACAAAGGTTGTCTTGAAAACAGGCCCAAAATGGCTTGTGCAACCCTGGTCTGGTGCCTAAGTTTCAGGGCAGGTTGACCTTATGAGGGCTTGAAAATAGCCCTCCGTTTTAGGCTGAAAAGACTCAGGGCCTGGAGGGCCCTTTTTAGGCTGAAACGACACAGGGCCTGTAGGCCCTCGTTTTCAGGCTTTCAGGCTGAAACGACACAGGGCCTGTAGGCTCTTGTTTTCAGGCTTTCAGACTAAAATGACACAGGGTCTGTGGGGCCCTTATTTTCCGTCTGGTCGGGCCCTGCAGGTCCGTGTGGCTGCGCAGTATGCCACACCCCCACTTCCTTGAAAGACCGAGCTTACCTGCGAGGGCGAAGCTGCATGTCGGAGGGACGGACCAAAGTTCGGGTGGGAGGGGCAGGTTGTGACGCTTCCTTAGCCGGTCTTCGTCGCTCGTAGTCGGTATAGATCAGCGGTGCAGATGCTTGCAAATCTGTTCGTAACTTGGTGTCCAAAATGTCGAAGGACACGGCCTCGCTTGCATGGGGGGCAAAGTACACGGGAACGAAATCAATGCACCGGTGAATGGACTTGTGTGTGTGAACATCGGCCAACGTGACTTGAGTAGGCTGCGACTTCTTCCGAACGCGTGGCCCAAGGCCAACACGTACCATGAAGTGTTGGCTCATATTGTTGTAAGTAGCACCACAATCTCGTTCTTGGGCTACGTGGTGACACGCGGAGGACTGTGGCCAGATTCGAGAAAGGTCGCGGCGGTAAAAGACGCCCCTGTTCCTACGTCACTGACGCAGGTTCGAGCCTTCTTGGGACTAGCAGCGTACTACCGTCGTTTCATCAAGGGCTTCGCCGCGATTGCGCAACCTCTAACGAACTTACTACGGAAGGACCAGCCTCTCAGTTGGGACACTGAGTGCGAGCAGGCCTTCGCTGCCCTCAAGGACGCCTCGGCTACAGACCCCATGTTGATCCGGTCGGACCCTGCAAAGCAATTCATTCTCATCACGGACTGGCAGCCGGAGGCAATTTCCGCCATTCTAGCGCAAAAAGGGAACGACGGCCGAGAACACGTTATCGAATACGCATCACGCACGGTGCCAAACGAGCGGAGGAACGATTCGGCCTCGCAAGGCGAATGTTACGTCGTGGTTTGGGGAATCCAACACTTCCATCCGTATCTTTACGGACAAAACTTTCTCTTTGTGACCGACCACGAGCCGCTGTTGGCTCTCAAGAGGCTCACTAATTACACGGGCATGATTGGGCGTTGGGCAGTGCGCCTACAGGAATACGATTTCGACATCGTCCATCGGAAGACGGAGAGGCACGGAAATGCGGACGGATTGACACGTCTGCATCGGTCAGCTAAGGTACCCAAAGGCGAAGAAATTATCCCGTGGAAGGAGCCGGGACCGGCAAACGGACCCAAATACGGACAGGTGGCAGTTCTGCCACGTGGCAAGGAGCGGACAAATGGCAATGGGTGACGGAGGTAATCTTGCAACTCCTCTCTCTCCCCTCTCCTCTTCATCTCTTCTCTCCCTACCCGACAAATTTTGTTATTTTTGCGAAGCAATCTCACGCGTGTATTCTGTCCCGATGCATCCTACCGGGGAGGGATATGTCGATTGGGTAGATTGTCGGTAGTGTGTCGCACGAGCCCATGGATCTTGCATTCAGTATCGGAGTAGCGATAAGCCTTGGTTGTGCCCTTTGTGTCGAGTCGATAAGATCCCGACCGAGGCTCGGTTCCTCGACGCCACGTCGGAAGGGTTGGAAAAGACCCTAAAATTTAGAAGAGCCGAGGTATGGACGGATATCGCTCTGATAGCTACCTTGGTGGGTAACCCCCTCCAGGACTTCACTAAAGAGGACCGGAGGAGGGCGAATGAGAGGGCTCGGGACTACCACTGGAATGAGGGTCGGTTAGAGAAACGGAAGACGGACGGTAGTGGGATTGGGATGGTAGTACCGCACCCGTTCATGAGGTATGACTGGGTTAAGACTGCGCATGAGGAAACTGCAACCCATTTTGTCATACAGATCACGGAAGCAGCAATCGATAAAAATGACTGGTATTGGTCCAACATTCACGACGATGTTAAATTCATCGTCCAGAATTGCCATGTCTGCGCTGCTGACAGGGCGCCGATTCAACCGCCAAGATCGATAGTACCAACGGTAGTTGAACGGCCATTCCAAAAAGTTAGCATGGATACTACCGATATCGTGGTGCCCCCTGGACCTAATAGCTGTGAATATTCAATCCTACTGGTATTTGTAGACCACTTCTCGAAATGGATCGAGGCATATCCTTGTCGTACGCAACAAGCGGCTGAAATCGCGCGGTACGTCAACCGTTTTTTAGGAATGCATCAAGACACGGAGGAGATTCTGACCGATAATGGGGTAGAATTATGAGGGGAAGTTTTGAGGAATCTGGTCATATATGGCGTCGCCATTCGGAATACTGAGCCTCACATGTCACAATCTAACGGGCTGGTAGAGAACGCAAAGAGGGTGATAAAGACTTCACTGCGACGAAACATCGCAGCACGGGATCCAAGACCCTGGCCCGATATCGTGGATCACATCCTGGCTGTCCACCGAGGAACGCCCCACGAATCGACAGGCCTAAGCCCCTTTCAATTACGGACCAATAGTGTGGCTTGTGTTCAATACCGAGCCTCCCAGACGAATCTTCGACCCACGAGGGCCAAGGTTCGAGACAAGGCCAACCGGCACCTGGAGCTGATGGAGCGGTCCCTTCCCCGATTAGCCCGAAAACGCCAACGGATGACCGAGTTGGCCCACTGCCGACAGGTCCGTAGCTACGAGGCCCGAAATAAGAATGCGGGTCCGCGGCCCCAATACAAATTAGGGGACATCGTGCAGGTAAGGAAATGTGCTCGCCAGGGTAAGCTAGCGCCACGATTCTTTGGGCCATTTCGCGTAGTTGAGCCTGGACCGAACGACGTGAACACCGTGCGGCTCGTGCCAGAGGTCTCCGGCAGCCGATCGGCTTGATCGATCACTCGCCATGTGTCATATCTATGACCTCTCCCATCCTCTCCATCTCCATCGTCGTCTGTCTCCTCCCTCACTACGGAAGAGGACGACGACTGCTTATCGCCCGCTTCTCCTTCTCTGTCTCGCTCTCCCTCAGCTACCGCGTCCCCGCCTCCATAGCCATGAGCTTTTCAGCGGAGCAGGTGATTAGTTCACAGCTGCTAACCCCGAGAGGGCGGATCAGTACCATCCGACAAGTACAGCGGCCACGCCTGAGTACCGATCTTCTCCGGTTCGCGGCCTTCTTTAGCACGATGGCGATCCACGCGGCGGCGGAATTCCGGTTTACGCAAGCAGCAGCGACACGCGTCCTGGCCGAGATCTCGGCTTTCCAACGCATGTCCCCTCCTGGGATCAGTCCGTCATCGTCGTTTTCATCGGGGATATTACAGCAATGCCATCGGCGATCCATCCCGACATCTTTCGGACCTTGCGCGCTTGGGGTGAAGAGATTCAGGCTGCGTGGACAACACTCCTCGCTCGACGCGGGGATACGGTCGTGCCCTCACACGACATCGATCTACAGCTTCGCTCTTCCAGCGATTCGCCACCGATCGTGTTGCCGGAGCTTCGTCCCTTCGTGCCGCCCCGATGAGTCGCCGCCGCCTTTCCCTCTTCGGCCTCCCTTATGACATCCCCACCCTCTGGCAATCTGCTAACGCCCCCCCTCTCTCCTACTGTATCAAGCCAATCAGCGTGCCAATACTGGACGAGGAGAAGTGGGACGACTGGTGGGAGGTGTACGCAGAGCTCGCTTTTTGCCTGCTGGAAGTCGAGTTCCGTTGGTCTGAGCCAGCACCGTACGGAGAAGGACCTGAACTCCCAGACGACGAGGTGGAACTGCTGATCGTGCAAGCTTGGAGCACGGCCACGGAAGGAGACCTGTTGGAGATACTGTTCGGAAAGGTGGAGGACAGGAATCTCGCCCTGATTACGAGCGAGTTGCTGGTGTTCCTGACACAGCTAGTGGACGACCTGCCTCTGGACATCTTACCGCGGTGTGACAATCAGCCTGGCACCCACGTGCTTTCCAGGACGCTCGAGCCGCGCCTGCTGTGGTCCACGTGTACTGAGCTGGACGACGACAACTGTGCTTATCCGTCCCAGGCTCTTTTTCTTGAGATCGACGTCACCGATCTCACGTTGTGGGACTTCATCATCCAGCGAGGAAACACGCAGCAAGAAGAAGAGGAGGACAACGACGACGAAGAAGAAGAATCGAGCGGGGATAGCGACGATTTCGATTACGTTCAGGAGGAAGAAGAAGACGACAAAGAAGAGACGCCAACAGAGGAAAAAGGTGTAGCGGGCGAGTCGAGTTAGCAGCCCAGGGAAAACAAGGAGGAGGAGGAGGCAGAAGCACGGAAGCGGTTGGAAAAGGCGGAGGGAAAACGGTCGGTTGAGGAAAGGCCCCCGTCAGATCTATTGCTGGGAAATCCGTGGCTCGACCCCGAGCCCCCAAAGGAAGAGGAAGGAGGCAATGGAGCCGTAGCGGAGGGGTCAGGAAGACGTTGCCGAAGGAGGAGTGAATCGCCAGCTTTGTGTGGGTCCCCAGCCCGACCTGCCCTTCGCCTACGTCAAGATGAGGGCGATCGGGCTTCGTCCCCAGTCGTTCTCTCGCCGTCCCCTTGACTTCCTGATGCTCACCTGACTCCCTGGTAGACCCCCGTTCCCCGCTGGATGGTGCCCCTTCCCTTCCGACCTCTTCTATCACCTCTACGCCACCCGCATCCTAGTCACCGTCTTTCCCCACGCTACCACTCACTCTGTAGTGGATTCTTTCCTTCTCCATGTTCTCTTGTTCAGTGCAGACTGGAGGGAATATAACCATATAGAAATATATTGTATTATATCAGGAACGATCCCCGCCTACGAAAATTTTGACAATTTTCGCACCGCTCTTCGCCGCACCCTCTCCACTCTCTACCCAGACTATATTGCTTCCCTCCCCCACCATCGCGAGGGACCTCATTTCCCCTGTATCCATCGCTCCATCCATTACACCTCCCTTCCCGCTTTCGAGTCTCCGGCCATCAATCGGTTCATGCCTCCTCTCCCCCAAAATCCTCCACCGCCTCCCTCGTCGATGTTTAGATTGCCCTTCCCAGGGAACTTGTAGGAGGGAACGCTTCTGACCCCCGCCTTCGACGAACCCACCCCCCTCGCCATACCCCCATGTAGAGTCTCCCCTTCTTGATGATCACTGATGCGCAGGTGCATGGCACATGTCACGGCGATGGCAACACGATCCCCTCCTTCGATTGAGGAGAGCCCTTCCTGAGGAATTTGTAGGATAGAGCCACGTATGCCACACTGGACGACGTCCACACTCTTTCACACGGTGAGTGGCAACGAGGAAAGCTCCGCGTGTCGATTGATTAGAGAGATCGACACGTGTCAAGGTGACGAGCAAGCAAGAGCTTGCTCAAGATTGGAACCCCCTGGGCGTCACATATGTGACGAACCACCTTCTGTTCCGCGTGATTTTCTACGCGATGACAATGAGGGGTCCTAAGATGGGAGGGTTGGGCCAATTACGGGAGGTCGGGGTCAACGGGAAAATTGCATCGGTGTCCTCGCTTCTTCATCTTTTTGCGTCGCTTCTTTTCGCTAGCTGGGTTCGGGGTGGGCAAGTCCCAAGATGATCGGTTGAGTGGCGCGCCGCCGCCCGTGCAATTAATAATGGTTAACGTCGCTTCTTTTTGTTTTGCTGTCGGGTTTTCGGCGCGGAGATCGCGCGGGAATTTTGCTTCGTTCTTTTTGAATTTTCTTTTTAAATTCCTTTTCGAATTTTGTCGAGCCTTGATGGCTCTCGGAATATCAGACTTCCTTTTCGGAATTTGTGCTTTATTGAAGTTTTTTTTTTACATTAGCTAGGAATAAACTTTTAGCGGCCAGGAAGCATCAGCAGGAGATGGAATTGCACCAACAATTGCAGCAGCTTGAGCCCCAAGACCAAACTGATGATACTCAAAACTCACAATCGCCAGAAAATGTAATCCAAACGCTGCGACAGCAACTTCAGAACTTTGCCACACAACGCTGGGAAGGCACAAGGATAAGAGGGAGATTGTCCAAACACCAAACAAAAGGAACAATGCACAAAAAATTCTTCAGTATGGCCCGGGTACGGTCACATAGAACGACCATCGAAGCGTTGTACGACCTGCAGACCGGGCACCAAGAAATCATCACCTCCACCCCCCACTGCACGCAGATCGCTAGAACTTTCTACCGGGACCTGTTCACTTCAAGGTGCGCCCGCCGAGAGAGGCGAGTCAGGGAGGACGAAATCGATGATTTCCTGAAACCTTTGGAGAAAACCTTAACAGGAGAACAGAAATCAGCGTTGGACCGACCTTTGTCGAAAAATGAAATTTGGACAGCGATGATGCAAATGGAGGAAGAGAAGACGCCGGGCATCGACGGTCTCCCTAAAGAATTATGGGAGACTTTCTGGACCTTGATGGTCACAGACCTCATGGAGTTTTATCAGCAGGTGTAGGAAACAGGACTGATGGGGGAGTTGGTGGGACAGGGGGTCCTCACCCTGTTGCACAAAAAAGGAGACAGGATGGACATTCGAAACTACCGACCAATAACGTTGCTCACAGTAGTGTACAAATTGCTAGCAAAAGCATTGGCAAACCGGCTGCTCCCTACCTTGGAAGATATTATCCACCCAACACAAACCGGTTTTGTCCAAGGGCGCAGGATTCAAGACAACATCTTGCTTGTCAACGAACTTCTTAGCCTAACAAGACAGGACAAACGTAATGCAGCCGTGATCTTCATAGATTTCGAAAAGGCATACGACCATGTGGACTGGTTGTTCCTGGATAAATGCATGGATAAAATGAATATTGGACCAGTCTTCCGTCGCTGGACGGAAATACTGCACAGCAACGCTACAACCTCTGTCCAAATTAATGGAAGAATGGCACCACCCTTCCCGCGGCAATGGTCGGTCCGTCAAGGGGACCCATTGGCTCCCCTCTTGTTCATCATTGTGATGGAGGCACTTGCGGCGAACCTCCGAGCCAACAAAGACCTGAGGAAACTGCAGATCTCTGCCATCCATGAAGAGGCGATCCCTATTTGTTCAATGTTTGTTGACGACCTCACTCTTGTACTTGATGCAACCGCAACAAATATGGAAGAGATCAGGCGACTGTTTGACCAGTTCACAGCGATCTCAGACATGACCATTAACTGGGGAAATAAAACCCTGGGGTGGTGGATCCACCACCAAGGGGCACGCCCCCCTGAGCAGCCACGAGTTAAATGGCTCCCAGAAACGGCCCCAGTCAGGGTGCTTGGAATCATGTTAACAGCTTTGGGCAAACCCGCATCTAACGATGAATGGATCTTGAAACCTGCCTTGGAGAATTTGGCTCACTGGAAAGACCGTCACACTTCCCTTATTGGCAGGGCTTTGGCGATCAATAGCGTGGTGCTTGCGGCCCTCTGGTACAAATCCACAATTTGGGCTCTTAGTAAGGAGGCAATCCAATCACTCAAACGACAGCTAGCGGCCCTGTTACGGAGAGGGAATGGGGAACTACCGAATGTAAGAAGTAGGGTGGCCTGGTCTTCGGTGATCCAACCCAAAGAAAAAGGGGGCTTGGGGATTCAGGCCCCGGAGACCCAGGTCACGGCGTTAACAATTCAATGGGTGAGAAGGCTACTCTTCACCCTACGTCTCCCGTGGCAGGCCCTGGCGCTGGAACAAATCGCTAGATTGGCTCCACAGGCTCCACAGGGAGTACACCTGCTGACCTGGCTGGAAGACCTCTTCTGGGCGGTGCCACGGTCCCCTCGAAGGGGTCAATCTGGGGGTCGTGACACACCCCGCTCGGATCTGGCCCGGGATGACTTCTGGGCCCGAGTGTTGAAAGCCTGGCGCAGACTCCCGTTACCCAATAAACTCCCGTCGTCCAAGTGGGATGAGGTCGCACGCTAGCCCTTGTTTGGGAACCGGAGGATAACAGACCGGTACAACAGGGTGTATCGTAGTTCAAGTACTCCGTGGAGCAGCTGGGTTAAAAGAGGTATAATCAGAATAAAGGACATATGGGACACAGAGAAAGGAGATTGGAAATCTGCACAGCAGCTAAAGTCTACACTAAAGTACTATCATAAAGTGGAAGAACATATCGAATTGCTGATTTTTGCCATCCCCCTGGACTGGGTGCGCATTCTGCGAAAAGGGCTGCGACTGGTAGAAGGAGACTGGGTAGCAACCCCGGGCGAGCCGGCCAGCGTGGGTAACGTGGTGGAGGTACGTCCGGACGAATCTCTGGTCAACCTCTTCCACGTGGACAGGGACAACGTGCTCACCCGATACGCTCCAGACGTGACGAGACGGTGGAGAAACACTGACCTGCACAGGATTCGGGTACTGTGGGACAAAGACGTGTGGATTGCATACCAACCAGACACCCCCCTGGCAGATCTCCCGCTGGACCCGGAGGAATGGCAAATCCCCCCCCCCCACGAAAATACAGGTCGGGGGAGAATAAAAAGTTATACTCCCTAACGGTGAAAGCCGCTTATCACCTGCTACGACCCAAAGTAAACCTAAAAGGAAGGGTGAAAGCTCGCTGGAAATCCCAGTTGAATCTGGGATCAGAGGAGATGCGCCCCATCCGATGGTTCGCCACCACACGATCTAGACCGGCGAGGATGGCCTCACTACAGTGGCAAGTAGAACACCGTTGTTTGCCCACCAACGACTGGCTCATAGACCGTACATAACTAGAACTGAAAGGGAGGGCATTACCATGGTGCAAGTCGTGTCACTCAGCCTTCCCCTTCCGCAGAATCCCAGAAACCATAGAACATATATTCATGCAGTGTCCGGGGGCTGTTCTCACATGGCGTTGGTGGGACAGGATCTGGACACTTCTGGGCACTGAGTCTACCTGGCCCTGGGATTGGAGGGCCATATTATGTGAGGAATGGACCTCCCCCACCGACAATATCTTTGAAAACAACATGTTTAAGTTGGGGAGGAGAGCGGTGATGTGGTCCCTCTGGAGAAAGCGTTGTATCCACGACATTGAGGGGGTCCGCATAGCAGGGAAGAGGCGACATAAATGATAAAACAATACATTCAACAAGAACTCACGTTACAGTGGCATAAAGTTAAGAACCATTAAGATCTGTCCCATTCAGTGAAAGATATAACACAGGTCATCCACCAATTCTTTGGGGAATGGTTGGGTAGTGTGAATGGGGGTTGGATAGCATCCGTTGATGGGAGGGCAGGCTTGCACAGAGGGACAATCGGGCGGAATTCAAGAGAGACTACTATATCTGTTTCAAGGATTGGACGAAGGTGGGCCAGGACATCCCACTGCGACCACCCACAGAATTTCC